CCATATGGGTTACCTTCAGGATATCCTTCAAAGAGGTCCATAAGATATCTTTCGATGATATTCATGACACTTTCTTCAAAAATATCGTGAAGACATACTTCTAGGATATCCATGAAATATCCTTCAGGAATATCCATTAGATATACTTCAGAGATATCCTTCATTGACGATCGAAAGATATCCTTCTAGAATATACAATGAAGATAATAAGATGAAGTGATTATGATCTGAAGGGATACACTAATTGATGATTTTGAACAAGAAACATTCAATTAATACAATGTACATCAAAAATGAAGTTGTCAACGAACCAAAAATAGGAGTCAACAGTGTTTGTGATTTCTGACGAGTCTTCAGCCAATTGGTCCATTTCAATTCTTGCTTCTTCATATAATTGAGTGGAGACCATTCTTTTATTTTTTCGTTTATTCACATTGATTTTATGAACATTCACCACGCACCTACACATATATATAAGTATTATATAATAGTAGAATTAGGATGATCATTATTGTAAAATCACTCATCCCTTCAGAAACGCGATAAACAGAAATATTCGCACAATGCACGAAACTATCACAAAACTCGAGTCAAAATACAAGACAGAATCAATGTTGTAAATCGAACACATCCATAATTGCTTTGTATAACTGATGAATATCCTAAGGATATCTTCTGAAGGATATCTATTCAAATCCTGCGATGGATATCTCATGAATGTCCATTAAAAATCCAGGAATATCCCGACCAGAATAAGACATGCAGAAGATATCTATAGGATATCCTTTGTTATCTGGGTCTGAAGAATTTCAAGTTATTCTTCGAAGAGATGTATTCCAACTATTTGTTGAGCTTTTCTAAAATTTATTGCGTATGTCTTTGATCACTGTACCCTGGAGTCCCTGGACATACTTTCTGATACGAATTTAACTGAAAGTTGAAGCCTTATTCATACAATATTTTATGGATTCAGAAGAAGCCAAATATCTTGGAATGAAAAATCTCTGCTCTGAGAATATCATAAAGTTTGTATACTCTCCATCACCTTCTGGAACAATCACTATTTCATAATCTCATATTCAGTAATATCTATAATGCGATTTACTTACCTTTGTTTCTTTCTACCTGAAGGGAAAATCATCAACATCATGATATTATGATCCTTGGTATAATATGATCTTGTTGCAAGGTCTTCTTGTTGAGATTTGTGAATCTTAAACTAAGATTGACTTTCTGATGCTGAGTCTACTGGAACTTCAAGCCTGCATTCAAACTTTTATAGATTCCGAAGAAGCTGAATCATCTTGCAATGACACATCTCTGCTCTGATGATGATGCATTGATATTTCATGTCCAGTACTATCGATGATTCAATTCATACTTACCTCCATTTCTTAATTTCTGAGAGATATTTCATCATCAACAGATCGAGAAATCTAGTTCTCGACTTTCGCAACTCGAGATTTTGAGAAAAATCAAGAAGTAGCTCTTCCAAAGCTTCGCACGATCTCATCTCTAGTCTTCAATAGAAATGACATTGATGTATGACGTGATGTATTGACGTCATTAACGTCACTGTCAACTTCACTTTTGTCAAAATGGCACAAAGCATGGAGTAAAAATCCATACAAATTCAGAGTGGTCTGAATCTGACTTTGATCCAATAGTGAATATGATCAACTATCTTAGGGAATCATATAGAATGAATTCGAAAATATTTTTAGGGAAATGGAAAACAGCTAGCAAAAAATCGCCAGATGGCTAGATGCAATTTAAGTAGCTATATGAGTATTAAAATGGCTAAAACTAGTCAAGAAATAGCTGAGTAGGCAGCACTGATTATAGCGATTCGATGAGCGACCCCAATGTTGATCCACCACTGTTTCTCCTATCAACCCCCTTCCACCTAACAACCATTGTCTGAGTACGCGGAACGGCGAATTCAACGACGTCAGTTGAGGTAGATTAACAAAACATCGCTTTCTGAATGGATGGAGTCCTCCCCCTTCCCCTATCCTGTTGCAGGATATCTTTCCTGCTTGACTTATTAATGTGTCGATCAAACAAACATTCTATGGGGAACAAGCTTTGATTAATGTTCTTCCCTTGAGAATGAATTCAATGGCGTAGGCAGGAAAAAAAAGCAGGGCATTCTTGGAGGACTGCCGATAGAAGTGAGAAATGAATACCCTGTTACCTTATTCATTTTGAATTGTAATCGGTTTGTAAATATGTGTTGATGATCAATTTTAACCCTAATCCTTGATGCACCAGCGATGAACGTTTCTCTCCACGTGATCGGTTTGTTTCACATTATCAATCTGCATAAACTACAATATAATAGTTGACATTTCACATTCACATCCAGAAAATGCGGAATCTTACAGAGTTCCTTGGATATGTTCTTGAAATTTCAGGAAAATATGGCTCCACCGCAGCACCAAACACGATGGAACCGAACGCGTCTCTCTGCATATATTTACGGGCCACATCACTCGACTGATTGACTTAGAGGCCGATTCTGGGCGTGGCTACTGAAAATGGTCAGAGAGCGTGAGTCCAAGGTGACTGAGCACTAGAGAGGGTTTTTATATTGCATTTTCCCTCGTGAACCAGCAATTTTCATCAACGCCAATGCTCGTATTCGACCCTAGCCCAACTGTGTTCACCTTGAGAATTTCTCATTCTAGGAAGCATGACTTCAGGAAATGTGATTCATCAACTAGGACTCTAATCAAAGAACAAACACCTTCCTAGCTAACACTAGCCAACTCCACACTACGTGAAGGATTGTTTCATGATACTTTTGATGAATATGTTTTTTGTGCTTGAAATTATCCATTTAGTTGAGGAAAATAATAGATGAATGATTCAGAGGTGATAGTCTGGAAGCCACGGGTTAGATCCCATCTTTGATCACTATTTTCATTTTGGAATTTGTTTATTGAAATATTCTATAAGAATCAAAAGAATGCTAATTGGCATGTTAAGAGAAGATTTCACAGATCTTCTAGAATATTCCAGATCATTTCAAGGATACTCCAATCATAGATCTGCATACATATACTTAGATCTATGCTCCAATTATCCAAAAGGAATATGATGAGGAGATTCATGTAATATCTGGTGCTTTCTGGAATAAAATCATCCGTTGGGAACTTCACAGATGTTGGTATGAATAAGATGAAGTGAATCCATAGAATGATACCCTTTTTCTGTCAATATTCATCACGAAATACGGCTATCAGCAAGGAGATTCGAAAGTACCAAAATGACTTATAGTAATAGACACTGGTGATATATTTGACGAATAATTTAGATGGAAAACACTATTTTCAACCTTTCCGTTCCTTAGCCACTGTATGATTTTTATTTGTGTGTCCCGGGTATACTTTGCAGATTATCTGTTCAATTGTTTTCTAGCGATCTGCGCTTTTTATTGCAGAAGGTCGACGTACTCTGTCGACTCACTCGTCGATCCTGTTCTGTTAAAATTTGTAATATTATTTATTATCTGCTAGGCATAGGCAACCCTGGGTTCATCTAAATGAGTGGTTAGTTGCCTGACTCAAATGAGTTCACTATAGAAACAGGTATAATACTACATGTTCAGTTTTCAGTAGTGGATAACATGTTCTATCTATATCTATCTATATCAACTGAACAGGAAGGAATGCATTGCATTGAACATGAACTGTATAACGAATTGAATTTGATCTGAATCAGATGAAGTATTGTTATTTTTTGGTTTGTACATATCATTAGTACCTATAGGTACATGTATAACTCATTTTGTAAAATTATTCTGAACAGAGCGTGCCGAAATATCATAGGTAAGGGTAGGTTTCATATGAGTGGGGTGGATACCGCTCCTCCATTGCAACCCCAGATGGGTCTATTGTGGCTCACACCCAGAATTTGTCAATCTGTGCCCAGAGATTACAGTTCACTGTACAATCCACATCAAATACAAAGTCCATGATTGAATCAATTGGGATCTGTCTGATATCGATAGGTTCTAAATTGGTGAAGCCGAATAAGTCGAACCTCAGTCTCTCTAAGCAAGAGCATGAACTCAATATGTGTTCAGCTGTTTCGTCTTCCAGACAGCAGAATCGACAGTCTGTTTGTTGTTTCAGACTCATCCTTTCCAAGTAGTATCTCAGACGACAGTGTCCCGTAAGGTGAGCAGTCCTGTCAGAATTCGTAGGTTACCCCTGCTCCATTCTAGGATCTACTTGGTTATATTTTTCGATGATTTAAACAGAAATGCCTTCGAATGGGTTAATCCTGGTAATTCAGAACAGTACGTGAGTCTTTCACCCTCCCCTGATTGGCAAGGATGTCGGCTTTCTCGTTGCCCTCCACTCTCTGGTGTACAGGTACCTACAGCAAAGTAACTCTGTTGTTTGCACCCAGGCATTCTAGGGATTCAATACATCTCCATACAAGCTTGGAATTTCTCTTGCTGGAGCTCATGCAGCATGACTGTCTGATACAATACTGATGTTTTTGTTTACTAGAGGTCTATTCGTCAAATCTCTAGCAGACAATTCAATTGCGAAGACCTCAACCTGAAAGATTGTAGCATACTGAAATTGATTGTATGTGGATAAATTGAGGATGATAATTCAGATGATTATAACAATAAATGAGTGTCAAAATAGTTTTCCGTAGATTATGAGATGCGAGATGAGATGTTTCAGTAGATCGGTAGATCAATATGCAAATCAGTAGATCTACTGAAAATTCATTAGAAACGGCAACCTTGCAGTAGACGGAAAGTAAGTGTCCGTGGATGAAAAGAACTTGCGTTCGGAAATAGTCGGTTTATCGTTCGAGGATAAAAACTTTTTCACAATCTTTTCCGGTGAAATATTGACCAAATTGTAGATTCATGTTTCGTTATGTTGACCTGGATTCGAGTACTCAAAAAAATTTGTTGGCTGATCGATCAATTGTCATAATTCATAAAATTTCTGAGAGTGTTCAATAGGTTATTTATTTACCATGAATAGAAAATAAAATTGTTACTCATCACGAAGTTTTTATTTTATTTCTTCTCAATTTCGAAAACACTAGAGCAGCGATCTTATACATGCAATAACTGAATGAAATGACAATTAATGCAATGAACGCTATCACGTCAATCAACAGGTACTGATAGGCAGGCATAGATACTGCAGCTGTCCTCATATGCGGTGCTCCCCTGTATTTTGCCACGTATTCTATCCAGTATATCGCCGTGTCCATTGGTGATAAAGGACGGTCCTTGAATCGTTCTGATAGATCTTTCGCACTCATTCGGAACCTAGGAATGATAAATAAATATCAAGACTTTGATCAACTTAGACGATGCCACATGTATAACTATCAAAAGGGTGTGATTTTAGTTGTACTATGAAATTTTTCCTATGTCATCTGTGAACTGTAACGAAATAAACAAGATACTTGAAAACTGACGGAGATTGTCCAATGTCCATGTTGCTTATTGGCATTGTTTTCTATGGTGCGACGCAACCCTAGAAAAATGTATGCAAAATCCTGGATGTATAAGATTTTGTCACGAGTAGTAGAGGCAATATCTGCCGCATCGTACCTAACAGCATCATCTGCTGATAGTTCCACTCAAGCAGGGCCGATCCTAGCGGGTGTGCAGCGCGTGCCCCGCACGCGGGCGGCCAAAACAAGGGGCGGCCGCAGGCCGCATATTGTGCTATCAAACAAAATTACTTGAAACTCATAAGTCGAATGAATATGCTGCATTTTGAATAAATAAAATGATAGTAAATAGTGTGTTGGTCCATTGCAATTAATGTCTACTTTTTATACACATTCTTATCTTCCCAAATTTTAAATTTCTATTTGAAACAATAACCAAGGATGTTTTGTTCCATTACTGTGCGGTAGCTTATTTATGCATTTCTACTACTTACTAAGAGACTATGAGAGAAAATCCCAAAAAATCTGGAGAACATCCACTTGGTTCAACTACAGACACCATTTAAAATACTTTTCACTTGCTCTTCTTATTGTTCTTATTTTCAGATTCCAGATCATTTTATATCAATTACAATAAACTGTGATATACTAATGTGATGAATTTGAATCCCAACAAAAATTTCGCCTGCGGCGCATTTTTTGCCATAGGAAAATTTTGTCTGAGTTTCTTGGCCGCTCCCGGTATGCACTGAAATGGAGTTATTACCTGAAAGCATTTGACCTTGAACTCAGAAAAATTTCGCCTGCGGCGCATGAAGATTTTGTCTACATTTTTTTTCCGTGTTTTACTTCTTATCCTTGTACAAGTAGTTGAAGTTATGAAGTCATCAGGTATTATAGTTAAAAAATATGAAAAATTCTCTAGAGGGCCGGCACATTAGGTTTATGCACGCGGGCGGTCGACACCCTAGGATCGGCCCTGCACTCAAGATATCTAACAAAGTATAATTATGCCAATGAATATCAAAGAAGAAAAATAACTCGAAACCGAAAAATCTACTGCAGGACCGTCTAATCCCCTGTACAGATATACGTGAAGCGACCATTTTGGAAGCGAATTTTGTTGGAATTTCAAAGATTGAACTCAATAATTCAAGAAGTTAGTTGACCAAAGTACTGCATAGCATCAATCTCACACTTAGCCAATTCAACAACTGCTACACAAATGCAGGCATTATTGCCAAATGCAATTCAGGAAAATATTAGCAGTCCAGTCGTGAGATGGAACCTAAACTGACATCTGGAGAGAAAAGGATTCAGTGCGTCCCATCATGATTCAGTCAGGTAGATTCTCGGTAAATGAATATAAACAAAAAAATATCAAAAGAAAGAGAAGAGTAGTTGTTTTCTGTTGAATATTCAGAATCATATTATGTGCATATACATATTCTCATCTGAAAGAGAATGCAAATTGTCAACTTGAGAAGATTTTGTTTTCAAATTCTTATGTTGAGTGTTCACTAGATATAATTCAATGTTTGTCGTGGCATATAGCAAGGAGAGTAGTTGTTTTCTGTTGAATGAACCGAGAATGAATTGATATTATCATCACATATATAGAGGATGCGGATTCTCAATGTATTTCTTTGTATATATCAATTTCTTTATGTTCATAATAATTTATCTGAGAATATTACTTTTCAATAATAATCAGATGATTCCAAATATTTTTTATACTTCAGTTGCTCTCATCAGTGATGAGATTTGTAGTTTCAACTATATTTGGTTTCAAGAATACATCATGTTCGTTGGTTGCATATGCATCGATAACTATTGTGTGTATATCACATAATATCATTGACACCATCGACAGTTTTTTCAGTCAGGTGGAGTTTCTTTCTCAATCCATAATAATTATTTACCTTGGTTTGAAAAGTGATACTCCTCATTGGAGGAAATTCTTGAAAAATGGTGAATTCTCTGGTAAGTAGTAGAAAATAGTTATTTGTTTAACTAGGCAGCAAAGTAGTAGATTGACTGCCGAGGCTGAATCCATAGCCGAGCGTAGCGAGGCTAGGAATCCAGCTAAGGCAGTCAATCTACTTTGCTGCCGAGTTGAACATATAATTTTTTCCCTGATTGTTCATAATGATATAGGAGAATATTGTAATTGCAAATTATTAGAATTCCCACAATCTCTCTATTTTTCCTGTAGTGTTCAATTAAAATGAAATTTGATAGAAATCGCAGTTGTCCATGATAATTATAGTTTGACAATTCATAAAAATTCTGACAGTTGTGCGAAAAAATATCGGTATATTCAAATTATTATATAATGGACAGTGATAGCGTCCTGGAAGTACTTAAACCTCCAGAAATGAAGGAGGTGGCAAAAAATATAGAGTTGAATTTGTTGCCGGGGAAGTCTCGAATGAAATATGAAGGAAATTATAAACGATTTATGGATTATTAATTTTGCTGATACATATCAATCAGCAAAGTACCCACTTTGCTGCCTAGGCAGGAAAAGTAATACTTTGCTGATTGATATGTGTCAGCAAAATCAATATTTGCTGCCAATCGGAGAAAAAAAAAGTTATATGAGTGAACAACTTGTGACAAACACCCTTCATCTGTCTGTTTCATCAATTCAATACTTGTCGACTCACTTGGGACTCAAAACTTCATTGAGGGCCTCCAGAATAGTTTCCTCCGTAGCATCTTGCAAATGGAAAATGAGTCCTCCACCAACTTTTTCTAAGGCTTTTGCATTCAGAGGCTGATCTCCGTACTGAGGAATGACAAGAACAGGTACCCCACAGTAGACAGCCTCAATCGTGCCTAGGAGTCCTCCGTGTGAAATAAATACCTTCACATTGGGGTGACCTAAAACACAAATTAAGAGAATGAAATCAAGGAATGGAGAGGTCTTCAGTAGATTGTCTCATCATGAATAGTTGAAACAATGAATAAACGGGCGGAATATGAGGAAACAACTCGAAATAGTCATCTACAGATCTCACCGATCTCACGATCTCTCGATCTCAGTACATCCTTTTCAGTTCCTAGGAGCTGAAGTTCAAATTCAGCTTCTGAAAACTAAAGTCCAACTTTAGCCCCTATGAACCAAATATGTTGCCTTGCAACGTACCTATTCTTGTGTCAGTAATAGAAACGTCAATTTAAGAGCTAATTTTGGTATCAAAATGATCGACTTTTGTGTCGGTTGCATAAAAAATAAATATGTGAAATAACCATCAATGCAACAATTAATCCGTGTGGTGAGAATATTTAACCTGCATTACCATATCAGGTTTATTCAATTCTCAAGGATGTTCGAATTGTGAATTCAATATAAATACAACTACAGAGTGACCCATTCGTGTATGAGCAAGGTGTCAGCACTAATAGCAAATACCGCGCCAGAGCTAGGTAATCGAAGAACGAGTCTGGGAGGTCATGTATAGGAAAAAGACGTGGAAAATGTTAGGTTAGTGAGCATAGCGTCGGTGATTAGCTTCAGTAGCAGAAAAAGGCTGACGTTAAAGAAACACAGAGGAATGAGAGGAACAATAGTGATGGCGATTATTTTATCACCTCCATACTCCACTGTGTTTGGCTCGATAACCAAATGAAGGTGAATAATATAGTTGTGTGAGACAAAAAACTATTTCTGGCCGTGATTATTCAAAAGCAAAATATCCATCCCAGGAATAGCGAATAAAATATAGATCAAGCAAGCATGTGAATTTGGAAGACTCAACTATAATATGTTGTATTTATATCTCCAGCATGGGTATGGAATGTCAAATAACCTAAGAAGGCCGGAATCGGCCACGGAGATATTTTGTTCCTTCAGTACGCCAAAATGTTACTTCACGGCCTAGGCATACATAAACGATTCATCTATCTTTTTGATGAATATTATGTTACAATTTCATGTTCGAATTGGTATGTTGTTGGATAGATCAGGTTCCTACTACAGGGAATGTCAAAATAGTTCACGAATCTAATGATATACAGAAATTTTGAAGCTTATATTATCACACGAAATATAGTGGACATACAGATGAAATACTACGTCTTATACTCACAGAGAATTTCTCTTTGTGGTGTCCACCTGAAAGTCTCAACATTTCTCGGTTTATTTTCCATGTCGGTTTCCCATTTCCAGATCACCCTTTGTTGGACACGGGAGAAAGCTTTCAAAAATGCATTTCTCTTGTCAACTGGGAAACTGCTTCCCTTCAATGTTGAACCCATGCTCATATATATTACGCCATCGAGAGACTCGTTTATGAATTTCGCTATTTCCTTAAAAAAAACACAATAATGATGATTTGATATTAAAAAATTTGGGTGTCTTTCTACGAAATCAATATTTGTCCATGTTCAAGAGAATATCATGAATTGTTGAAGTGAAATGGTTAGAGATCACAATTTATAAATTTTTTTTTCGATGTTTTGAAAAAGGAATAGTAGATTGTTTTATTAGGATCAAAAGTGACACTTTGTTTGACAAGCGAATTTTGCATTTGCGAGGAGGAGCGTTTAGCGAAGCCGAGCGGAAGCAAAATTTGCGAGTCGAACAAAGTCACTTTTGATCCGAATGAAACATGCCATTTTTTCTGCAACCGAAACAATTAACTCAATTAAACATGTGAAGTAACCACCAATGCCGTGCTATATGTATGCAATGCAACAAATATTGGCAAATAATCCATGTGGTGAGAATATTCTACCTGCATTAACAGCAGGTTAGGTTTTCTAGGATCATCGAATTGTAGTTTCAATATAAATACAACCACAAAGTGACATATTTGTGTATGGACCAGGTGCTCTAATGGCAAATACCGCGCCAGTGCCAGCTATAGGAACAAGACGAGGAAAATTTTAGGTTAGTGAGCATATCAACAATGATAATAGTGATTATTTATTCCTTTCCATACTGGCATACTACACTGTATTTGACTTGATAATCAAATGAAGCTAAACATTATCGTTGTTTGAGACAAAAAAACTAATGCTTGCCGTGATTATTCAAAAACAAGTTATCCATCCCGAGAATAACGAATGAAATACAGATCAAGCGAGTAGTTGAACCTTGAAGGCTTTCCTGATCAAAGCAAAAATACTTCACTGTGATGTTTATAATTTCAATACTGAACCATGATAAGGTGTATTTATATCTCCAGCATGGGTATGAAATGCCAAATCTGCTGAAATCGGAAACAAATCAGGTATGCGTCTCAACCCGAATAACCAACCGTCACAATGTTGTTTTTTCTTGATGACGTCCAGTAGATCCTTTTTAGTTCCTAGGAGCTGAAGTTCAACTCCAGCTCCTAGGAACGAAAAATTCAACTTCAGCTCCTAGGAACTAAATATGTTGCCTAGCAACATACCTATTTTTGTGTCAGTAATAGAAACGTCAATTTGAGAGCTAATCTTGGCATCAAAATGGACGACTCTTGTGTCGGTTGCAGAAAAAAGATTTTTATTCGTTATAGTCACGGTAGCTCGTTTGTTTGGGAGCAGGTCGTGAGTTACTTCTTTTATAGTGGGGTTATCCTTCTGTCAGGCGCCACTCAGTTTTCACAGCGAATTACTGAGAAAAAAATCCAAGATATAAATATGAGCCAAAGTAACTGTTAACAGATTTATTCACCTTAACATGCCAACAATAGGTATTTAGAATGGAGGTGAATAATGTTCTATGTTTCCAACTCAGTACAAGGGTAGATTTCCCTTCATATAGGCCTATACTTTGGGTTCACAGAGTCTCTAACAGACTCAATAATTCTATTAAATGTAAATCCGATATTAGACTGAAATGTGTTGTTGACAAGTGCTTAAATATCTCTTGACATTAGACAATGAAAAATTACTATTGAAAATTATATTCTCAATGAGGCAAATTTAAGAGTGGATTATAATCAATTGATACAAAGAGTGAAATTCAGTAGTCTCACATTATAAGAATTCAAGAGGCTGCTTCTTCATTCCACCCTGAAAAAAAAAATCAAAATATGCTCGATTCGAATAAAATATTTTGTGAATGATAATATGTCTATAGAAACAATGATGAAAATATAATCGAAGAGATAATTTATTGAGGAATTCCAGTATCGAGGTGGAAAGGTGGAATGGGTACATACTGAGTGACGACGACTTAAGAGAATCCCATTAGCTTATTCATAATGAAGGCAATCTTGAAATATATCAATGATTATTTTTTTCACATGTCAACATGTTACGTTTCTCTTGTTTGAGTCAATAGCAATCTGTTATTCTAGCAAGTCATTCGGTATTATAGCGATAACACTGCATGGTCCTTGATAATTTACATTGAAATGTCGAAAAAAAAAAACTATAAAAAAAATAATATGAAGACTAAACTGCGTTAATTCTCTACACTGGACTGAATAAAAACTATTCCCCTCAATCCTTTCATCAACAATAACATTCCCATAGGTTTTATTTTGAACAACTAGTTTGAGTCACCTGCGTTAATTATCTTCTTATTCTTATATGTGAGATAATGGGCGTGTACACCTTAGTAGAACTTTTAACTCAAACCATGTTTATAATGATCCTATGAATACATAAATAATGATTGACGACATAATTCGATCGAGAAATTAACTGAAATGTTTTATTTTTGGACATAAATAATAGTACCTTCTGAAAACGGACCCTGTTAATGACGTAGAAACCTCGTCTCGCCTTAGTTAAAAGATAATACCAAACGCCCGACGGAGACTGAGACAACTTATATAATATTAATTCTTTCAACTCTGATCTCGCGCTAATTCACTCTGTCAGAAATCATGTATATCATTCATATCTGTCTGGAATAGTCTTGTTTCAGTATTAGGGTTTTGACGTCACATCATCGCCTCGTTTTCAGAGGTCCGAAAAATCGGGGATTTCAATATTTTTTTATGAAACGTAGGGAGCTCACAGCAAGAAACGGTTTGCGGTGGTGAGCTAGTTTGGGTGACTTCTATCGAATTATGAAATAAAATTTTTTTGTGATATAAGCCCATTCAATCCATATTGATGATTTTCACTGAACTGAATGAAAACTAACCCTTTCATAGCATTCTTAGGTTATAGTTCATTTGTAGTTTAGTTATGACACCAGATACAAACGTCTATTAACAGGACGCAACAGATAATCCTTGCGAGCCAAGTCTATACTAAAATTCAGGATGTGATCGAAGTGCTTCAAAATTCATTGAAAATAAACATAATGGAAGAAGGTGAAAATACTCAGACTCGTCAAATAAGCTTATTTCTCAAATCGGTGAGAATATTGATCTCTCCAAATTGAACTCGTCCCTCAACTTTTATCCCGAATTCTTATATTTTCAACACTTCAAACTCCTTTTTTTGATGCAAAATCATTCAAAAAGTGAATTGAATGGAAACACTCGTCCTACAGACTCTTGATTCTATGAATCAGTTCGATTCCACATTTTTGCCGAAACAGAAAAAAATTTGTGAAAACTTGATGAAAAAATTAACGATAATATCTGAAGGATTCGTGATATTACGTCAGATAATTGTTCCCTATTTATGTCATGTATAATCACCAGACGTATTATAATAGATTATTGGAATGAGAACAGTAAAGTTGGGAACAATTCCCATAACTATTCACGTTCGTTGTCACTCTCAATACGAAACTATTTGGGAATAGAAAATGATATCAAAGTGGATCATGAAGTATCAGCTATCACATGAAATGTTATTTTCCATCAGTATCACGATTATTTGTGGAATGGATAAAAAAAAATAGTTCGTAGTAGTTGAATGATCCGGGTTGGTACCCACTTGAAAATTATGAGAGGAAAATTCATTTGATGCTTCACCGTTTGAAGAATTCAGCTTAATATACATATAGCAAATAAAACGGGCAGTTCCAAATCAACATGAACGTCTATTATTCGATAACGATAGAAGAACATCTTACGTGAGGTATTTCTTTAGGCTCTTCAATATGGATTCCACCCACTTCTACCACATTGGGCACAAACGGTCTGGGCAAATTCAGGCTGAAATGCGTATTCGTCAGAAGAAGACTGACGTTGTACATTACATCATTTCCCTTCATTGTATCTACTCCCAAATATTTCCTCGAAAAACGGTTGCCAGGGCCAGCCATAAAATAATCGTATATAAACTTGTCCAAGCCCAGTGAGACGGTATTCTCCACCCGCTGAAGAAATGTCATGCTGTCAGAAAATCCAGTGAAAACTGATGGAATGTATGAGGGGTTCTCCGGATTCGCGAACCATCTTTGGATCCATGCAGGTGGATTGCATGAAGACAAACCTGAAACACATAACCCTAACAACACGAGTACATCCTAGGGACTTCCCAGGGACGTCCCTAATTTCAAACTAGGACATCCCAAGGATATCCTTTTTGAGACAAAGTACATACTAGGGACGTCCCAGAGACATCCGTTTCAAGAAAAAGTGGACATCCAAGGGATGTCCTTTCTGGTACGTCCCTGGGATGTACCGAGTACGGAGAAAGGATATCCCTTCGACGAAAGAAAAAAAATGAAGGTCGAGTGATTGGCTTCTGAGCAGCGTTGCCAGTACTTTTTCTACAGTTGTACCAATCTGAGTGAAGAAAATGTACCACTTTGTACCACCTCCTATAACGCATGTGCGTTGTCTCATCAGTTTGACATGATCACAGAACTCATAATTTCAAACGATTTTATTTTATATTACTTCCCCCTCCCCCCCTCACTCTGGGTTATTGGCGGATTTCACGGTCATCAGATAGAGAAGTTCAGCTACTGTTGAGCATGAAAAAATATCTTACCATTCTGTCCATGTCTTCAGGGTACCAATATAAAATGATCAAAATTTCATGTTGACAACACTAGAGATGGGAAGAAATGGTGAAGAACATTCTAACCTCTTTTATATTGGGGTTATTATGGTCTGCTTCTCCATTTCATCTCATTTCCAGTGCTGCCAACATGAAATTTTCATTATTTTACGTTAAATACACTGAATTATGAATACACTGAAGCCAAGGACAAATGTGGACACTAATGAGTTGAATATATTCCCTTCCTCTTCTCGCTCATCACTCATCGCATCAGCGATCGCGATCAAATCAATAAACTGCAGATACAACAAAACATATATTTAAAAAATATAAAACATCAAATTCTTGTAAAAATGAAATAAAATATTGAAGGAAAATTGAAAATATCCTAATCAGTCTGAGTCAAATACGTGATCACAGTGTTGCCAACGCTCAACATTCTCCACGGAACTACTAGATGTTCGTCATTTCATTATATGTACCACATTTTGGCTCTTCTGGCAACGCTGCTTCTGAGTCCTCCAAATAATGATAATAATTATTATTATTGTTTCGCTGCAGCGGTCCCGCTCTGTAACGTCACCCCACCGCTATGATTATTTGTTGCCTCCTTTCTGAAGGTGCACATAATCTTATAAACAGCTAATGATAATAATGCGTTGCGAAAGTCTTCCTCACAAATAAAGGTACGAAATGTTGTATTTCGTGCAGTATATGCACGTAGTCATGATACCTTTTCAAGGAATGTAATCTGCAATTCATCTCAGTGTGAAAAACAAACGTTCGTTCTGTAATAAGCCATGATGTTGATTGTATTGAACATTTCAAATAATATGTTCATGGAGAATTTGCTTGTCAACCTGACGAGTATGCAATGATGATCACTGTATAGTCGGAAGGCCTCTGCTATGTGAAAAATTGGGGGAAATTTGTTCAATTCAATAATTTTGCATGAAACACAACATGGAATTAACCCCCACTTCTCTCATTACCTATAACAGGAGCACCAAATAGCCTCACTAGACCCATGAAGCAATTCGTGTTGAACAATTCCACAAGAATCAAATCGAACTGATTGTCTTCTTTCAGGAAATTCCGGAATCTCTCATTGGTGAGTCCACTGGTACATGATTGTTCTGCTAGTTCAGCCAGCAAAAACCGACCAGAAATCTGACCCAGTCTTGTTCCAGTTATTACACCTGTTGAGCAATATCGAAGCAGTTTTGTTCAGAATATATCACGAAATAATGGAATTTACACAAAAAAATCCGAAAATTCTCAGCATTGAAATTATGACGTATGTTACCTATATTTCTTGATTACCTAGTTGCATAGCCATCTTTCAGTATGGCAACACTGTTCAAGAGGTCTATCTCTAGCCATTCGCACAATAAATACGATATATGGATTCTGGATGTGAAATAGTGATTGTTTTTAGTTTTTGAGAGTGAATTGATATGTTATGTGGTATACTGTTGAAAGCCAGTGAAATGTTTGAAAAATATTCTAGTGATTGCGTTATGAGTGAGAGGGTGTTTGTGTGTATGTGAAAGTCTCATCAAAAATCGTTTTTGAATTGAGGTTATGTTTGATGTTGTCTCATTGCTGGAAGCAGAGTAGGTAATTTCCACCTTTTTCATAAGGAGATGCCAAATAATTGCTGTAGGTCAGGTTGTTAGTCAAATTACGCTTCGAAAAAGAAATATGTTTCCATTTTGAAATTTCCTGAAGATGAAGAACTCCGAAAAAAAGTGGATTTCTTCAATACTTCGTGAAAAATAGTATCCATCCCAACATTCCGCAGTGTTTGCAATTTATTTCGTCAGAACATATATTATTCCATATGATACATTTTCTCTTCCAGATGGATCAATTGAAAAGAATTTACTAGGAAACCCACAGTTCGTTGAAACATCAGTTTCTTTTATTTTCCCGAAATTCACCAAATCATCCTTCTGAAACTAATAAGTAGATATTATTAGCTGTTTGAAATAAAAAAAACTGTTGATTTTGAAAAATTCGACCTAATTCTGAATTACGAGCAGGTAGTTGGAGGATATGCAGAAAAATTGAAGATTGATAGTTGTTGGAATTGGAAATTCCATGAGACAAAAAGTACCATTTTTTTAACCGAATAGGTTCAAAGTCAAGTTGTAGCATTGAATGAGATGCAGATCCACTAGGTGATAATGAGTTGAAATTCAGTGATTTTAAATGGATTCTTCCCTATGACATGAAATTGTGTAGGTGGTCACAACTTCAGAATATTCTTGCAAGATAAAGAATCCGCTCAGATTACACAGATAATAATCAGACCGAAGAATATATCATAGAATGAGCTCATTTGATGACTCAATGAATACAAATACAACTGAAAGTCCTCATAAAGTTTCTTCTGAAGATAGCATACCTCATTCTGAAACTCATGAAATTTTGATTGATCAATTGGAATAAGTACACTTTAAAGAAATAGATATTCTTCTTCTACAATGATTATGTCTCTTATGCATATACCACTTCTCATTCTGTGTATGAACTCACTAGGATTTTCAAATTTTACTCAACAAACGATACTTGCAACAACCCTCTTCCAACTTGAATATATCTCTGAGCAATAACTTGAATGATTGATGTGAAATGGGATTTGTCATTCTTTTATTTCATCCAAGAAACTGAATAAAACCTGAACTGTGACCTGACCTATCATTTCTTGTTATTTTATTTCTCATTGAAGTTCAATTATTTATTTCAGAGGCAGCCATTGATGTTACGTTAGCGGTAGCGGTAACGTACCGTAGAATGGGGTGACTTGAAATCGTGTGGTGACTTGAAATAAAATGCAGTGAAAATTTTGAAGTAGTGGCAACGTCGCATGTCAACGGAAGAAGCTAAACTAGTCTTTCAGTCTAATGATTTTTTGTTTATTTTTGTAGTTTTTTATCTTTTTTGTATTTTGCTAAAAAATATTTGTTCTAAAACACAGTGTTTTTTTATGAAATTGATGATTTCTATATATTTTTTATTTAATTTTCATTTCATGTCACCACCTAGACCATCCTACTTGAAATAATCGTTGATAAGAAGTTATATTTCAAGTCACCCCATATTGGGGTGACTTGAAATATGACGTTTGACATTTTTTTTTTCGAAAACTACACTATATAGAAACGGTTTTAATGTATCGTTCTGTTCTTTAGGGTCGAAAGAGTTGGTGACTATTTTTAGTTTGGTTGAAAGTTGCATGGTAAGGTCGCAATCTATGGAAGTGTGTCAAAAATCTTATCAAGTCACCCCATTCTACGGTACTAGTGTTTGCCTATGTCGCCGTTATAACCAGTCGGGATAGTAGATCTTCCGAATCACGGTGATGCGTTGTTGCATTTCTCTCAAAGCTACTTGTTGTACAACCGGCTGTGCTAGTTTGATATCATTTTGAATTATTTCATGAATCATCTTATTTTCACAAATGAAACTAGATAAATGATATGCAGTCACAAAATATATCCAATTTGGTGAGGTGTTGAAGTCATAAACGAGAAAAGGTTCTGTAAAATATTTCTATGTCATATGACGATGAATGCAAAGCTCCAATGCTTGATTCTTTGCAAGCAATATTCATCCAAGTTTAGTAGAAATGTGAAGAACTCCAGTTCTGGGTTCGTCTATAGAACGGCAAATCTTTGGAATTCATTGCTAATGGAGGTATTCCAAAAAACCTATAACTTTCAAAAGTTCTAATCAATCCCAAAAACCACCTTCTTTCTCCATTCTACCTAGGCACGCACGATGTTCTTTGAACATCATAGGGATTTTCTTTCGTGTGCTCCAAGAAATGAAAAAAACAACAAAACTTATTCAGCCAGAGTACAAGATCTGAATTATTAAGTGAACCAGCACCATCATTTGGTGAGAAAATTGGATGAAGTCCAAGATAGTATGAAGATGGAGCTAGGCAGAAGAGTTTCAATAATTATTAATGTAAGGGTCCCCATCAAGCTCCAACAATGATGTTATGAAGTGAAAGAATATGTTCACTATGCATATGACATACCCATCTCTAGAATTTCGGTAGTCACTTCATTGTCTCCTATGTTTATATCCCTCCAGTTGGCTGTTGTCTTTTTCTGAGGAAACCTTGTGATGACTGTGAGGTTATGTCCTCTGAGAGCTAGCTGTTTTAGGAGAGGTTCGAAAACTAGTTGATGGCTCTTGCCTACATGTGGAAGAATCACGAGGATGTTTAATCCATGGCAGCTCGTTGAAATCAAGAGTAAAGTGAATAGTAGAACCCTGAAAACATCGCATTTTTTATTATTTATCAGAAGGTAGAATGAACTAGTGCGATATGATATTCGATATACAATTCAAACTCACCCTGTATAATTCATCTTCGTGAAGTCCTGCTTACTTTTACTCCAGAAATGAAGAACTCATTATGATGAAAGTGTTATTATTCCATTATCCACATATATTGCGAATTCCTAATGTTACTTTATTTCGCAAAAACCACTCGAGTGGATGACTGTTAAAAAAAATATTAGTTACTGTAGTTCATTTTTATCGAAATCAAATAATATAGTCCAGGAGATAACAGATCGATCATTATCACTTGAGTATCACTCAATATCGTGAATCATTACCAATAGAAATGCCAGGATATTGTACAAAGTGATTGTTTATATTCAACTCAGGATTTATCTCAGTTGATATTGGTTTCACAGAAACGTCCAGAAGGTCAAAAATGGAGCATTTTTTATGGGCATTCAGAATCTGAACCCAAAAGTCCTACATCGACTTATTTATCAAATGGAACCCCCTGTTGATGATTTTTTCAATCGATTGAGCTTAGTGAAAGATTCTAAATGTCCAAAAGAAATACTTCATTTTTTCCCATTTTAATGTTCCTGTGAGACGAATATAAAATGAGATACCTATTGAGTGAAATATGAACAATCACCCTGTACACATTCATGATGAGTGTATCTAAGAAAAATCTGGATTGAACCAGTATTAAGTATATTAGAATATTCAACTAACTGGACTATACATTGCATCATGTGATAAAGAGTCGCTGTGGTTTGTTTGTCCAGGAATAGTGATTTTTTCCTGATACATACATTCATAGAGTGATCTATACCTTCATTGAGCATAGGAAGTACCCCACTACATAGCATCGTGATAAAAAATATCAATCTGCAGCCTCAATAATCTCAGGCGTTCATACAATTACATCAGGAGGAAAATCTATCAGCGTATAATATGAGGAATTCTGCTCCAATATATTTAGGATGGTGAATATCGTTATCATTTGATATTTCCATGAAGTGGGAAGACAAGGAACAGTTCTTGAGAACATCACTTGGAATTATACCCTTTCAATGTTAATGTGCCTCACGGGGATCAGAAAGAAGTTTTGAAGTTAGCAAATTGACTGATAATTGATACTGGTTGTAGAATTGACAAAGGAGCTCAATTGATTTGAAATTTTCTATTTTCCAAAGGAAGTATGCAAATTATTCGCATTGAAAATCGTTGTGCTGAATAAACTCCAGAAAAACGATTGGAACATTCACCCAAACTTGCAATTGAGTCAAAGAATAGGCCGATACAACTCAATAATTGCAATACCAATAAGATATCAATATGTTGATATGGAAAGATCTCAACTCATTATACATAAAACCAAGAACCAATATTGAATTCGGATTTTCCTGATGTACCTAATGAATTATTCAATCGAACCAATATTCTCGTTATAAATCGATATCTCATCAATGGGCGTGTACACCTTAGTAGAACTCTCAACTCAAACTATGTTTATAATGATCCTTTTATACATAAATAATGATTGACGACATAATTCGATCGAAAAATTACCTGAAATGTTTAATTTTTGGACATAAATAATAGTACCTTCTGAAAACGGACCCTCTTATGACGTAAGAACCTCATCTCGCCATAGTTGAAAGAACATACCAAACGCTTGACGGAGACTGAGGCAACTGGTATATTTATACTTTAAACTGTGATCTCGCGCTAATTCACTCTGTCAGAAATCATGTATCATTCATCTCTGTCTGAAATAGTCTTATATCAGTATTAGGGTTTTGACGTCACATATCATCGCCTCGTTTTCAGAGGTCCGAAAAAATGGGGATTTCAATATTTTTTTATAAACCGTAGGAAGCTAACAGCAAGAAACGGTTTGCGGTGGTGAGCTAGTTTGGGTGAGCTCTATCGAATTATGAAATAACATTCGTTTGTGATGTGGAATTCATTGCCTGTGTGCAAGTATTCCCAACAACATATTATCTCCAGAAGTTCAAAACGATGTTCTTTGAATATTATAGGGATTCCCTTTCGTGCGTTCCAAGCGATAAAAAAAATACACACAATGCCTCATGAAATGGAAATGAAATACGTTTGGTATAATATATGTATATTTCTTTTTGTGTTTTCATACAATGTCATAGATATATCATCGAAAAACTATGTGTACTTAATATCACTTTTCGATAGTCAGTACCCAGAATTGAGTTGTTTCATCACAATTCGAGAGCGATCAATTGTTAACAATAATTCATGAAACTTCTGAGAATTTTTCTTTGGCTATAGTATATCAACCTTGAACAGCATTATTGTTACTTCCACTTCATCTCATCATATTCTCCAATGAAAAATTGGTACAGTAGAGTTCGAATCAGATAGATGAAAACTCCAATTTATTACGAAGTTTTTATTTTATTTTGTGTTCTCAATTTCATAAACACCAAAGCAGCGATCTTATACATACAATAACTGAGAAATATTACGATTGATGCTATGAATGCTATTACGTCCATCAGCAGGTACTGATATGCAGGCATCAATACTGCAGCTGTCCTAATATGCGATGCTCCCCTGTATTTTGCCACATATTCTATCCAGTAAATCGCCGTTTCCATTGGTGATGAAGGGCGGTCCTTGAATCTTTCTGATAGATCTTTCGCACTCTGTCGAAACCTAGAAAAGAAAAGGGGATGCCAAAATTCTATCAGATGATGCTACATGTACATTTCTGCACTATCAAAAGGATGTTAATTATCTTGTACTACGTTCTTTCATCTATATAACCAGGGTACACTAACGTAATGGAAAGAAATGACAGTTACCTACGCAAAAAATGTTTCGATAACTTTCTAGAAGATCAACCATTTGAAGCATCCACATATTTCAACGCAGCCAAATTTAAATCTAGTAATTACCTCAATATGACCAATGACAAAAGAATTCACATTTACAGAAGACAATGATTTCACCTGGTCGATAATTATCACTCATTGTATATATCTAGCAGGATGTTTCAGTGCCAATGAGAATATTGAAATATTTCTATTCCTCATAATGATCAAGATTTTATTTTACCCAACCTATATTTTTACCCTGGCAACAGCGTACTGCTTAGAATAGTAGGAGTTCACAAAAATATCAAATGAAGTAAATTGAACCATAACCTGACTCTCTAACGTCATCCTCGTCTGTCCTTCATCTTCAGTCTAACAAATTCTGCTGATATTCAAATATAACCCTGAGATTATATGATTGTTCAGTTAGGTGTCTTCTCTATTTTCTGTTGTAAGTATTCAGTCCAGAAAAGTAATTTCATATTTTGTTGAAGTAACAATCAGAATTATTCTCGCACCTGTCTAATAGAAATAGAGGATGGATACGAAAGTCGAATCTTGTATTATTTAAGGTAGATTACGTCACGCATTTTTTCGCGTTATTCATACTATGGAATATCGTGAATTCCAAGAATGTTTTCAAAAATGTATAGAGCCTTGAAGAAAATCTAGTTTGCGACAATAGAAACAACATATTCTCCAGTAGTAACTCAGAAAGCGTTAACAGTATTTAAGAAAAGTCACGTGTTTTCAGGAAATATCAATCGTCTTCCAGAATAGTCAATACAGATTCAGAAAGCGTCAACTGTTTTTCAGAAATGTGATTTGAATTTCAGGAAGCTTCGAATTGTCATTTCAAATTCATAACACGTCAATTGTATTTCATAATAGATAATTGAATTTTAGGGAGTGTCATTTGTATTTCAGAAAATATCATTTGAATTCTGGAAAGCGTCAATTGAATTTTAATAAGCATCAATCGAATTTCAGAATAGTCAATTGAATTTCATAGAGTATAAAAGAGTAGAGTGGAGTATTATTGACTACTTGATGTACATTTATACATTTGTAGCAAGTCCTAATAAATGATTCCATTTTGGTGAGAATAATGTAAATATACAATGAATGACGAAGAATATGAAGTCAAAGACAAATGATATACAATCAGAATGGTGGCCACTAACGTGAGCCAAATATTCTGCAATCGGGTTTTCGAAATAATCTTTCATAACTCTCTTGAATTTTTTTCATTCTCTGGTTCCCACGACAAGGGATATCCTGTACTGTTCAGAGAACATCGTGAGAACCAACGGAAATGAGGTAGGAATTGGTGTTCTTCTCAAACTTCTGGAGGTTATATGCCTCGGGAAAACGACACCTCCCTTGGCAATGTGTTCCAGAGCCTCGCTGTTCGTTGGATGAAAAAGTCTTCGGAAAGAAACGTTCTGCAGGTCTCCAAAGTGACCACGAAGGGGTGCGAAGCCTCAACTCGACGGGTTGATCTCGCGGGGGCTGCCAAGGAAGGAACAATCGTTGATATTTCGGAAGAGCATCGTCCATGAAAATATATACAGTGTGTCCCACTTACCATGCTCACCATAGGTATCTTTTTAACGGTGAGAGATACGAGGTCGGTTAAATGACACCAAATGTGGAGTTTGTCAAAGCCAACTATAATGTGAAAAAATATTTTGATAAAATCTATTCGTTTTTGTTTTATACACAAAAAACATATTTTGATCATTTGCATGTATCCTCCGTGACTTCTTTATTTATGAAAATATTCAAATAGAAATTTCACATTCTCATGGCAGTTTTTCAAAGTGATTTCGAAAAAAATATGAAATTTATACCAACTCTTCTAGAATTTGAGATATCGGCACCAACTCTAGTTTTTCAAATGTAGGTCATAGCTCACTATGACTTAGTTACAAATAACTTTTTTTTGTCTCACAGATAACAACGGAGTTATCGTCATTTATACAAAAACAAAAAATTATTAGGAAGCCGCCATCTTGAATTTATAAATTTTAACGAAAAAATCATGATCTCCGACCTCAAAAACCCCCGCTTACCAATTTTGAATAGAATTGGACCAAATCTTGTCCGCCATCTTGGAGCAGCCATTTTTTTTAATTGATAAACGAATAGATTTTATCAAAATATTTTTTCACATTATAGTTGACAAACTCCACATTTGGGTGTATGGTATGTTTGGGTGCTGCACTCCAAATATGGGAACAGTATTCCAGGACAGTCGCATATATCGTCCTATAGAAGGGATCAATTGATTGATTGATTGTGAAAGTTCTTGCGATTTGAAAAACTCATAACTCATTTAATTCGTTTAACATGATTCAACGAATAATAATTTCACATTCTCAGATTCTCCTAGGAAAAATCAGAACGTTTCCATCAATTGATGAAAGACAATAGAATTGAGTTTATATATTCACTATGATGGTCCCCTACTATAAATGCCTGTAATCTGTTCATCAAGGAGCACTCAAAAAAGAAATATGGGGTGATTCATTTGGGAATGTCGCTTGCAAGCAATAAACACCCTATACATTCTAACATGGAATGCGAGTTGAATCAACTGAAATTCGAGAGATATTTTCTCAATTACAAATGGCGATTTCTGATGTTCAAATGACAATTCTGAAATACAATTGATACTTTCTGAAAGACAAGTGACTATTTTCAAATAAAATTGATGCATTCTGAAATTGAATTGCCCCTTGCTAAAGTACATCTGGAAAAGGTGTGGTTAGGACTAGTCTCAAAGCTTGTACTTCGAAACAATTGAATAAAAATGTTTCACTGAACCAGGCCCATCATCGACTCACTTGGGACTCAGAACTTTATCGAGTGCCTCCAAAATCGTTTCCTCCGTAGAATCCTGCAAATAGAGGATGATACCCCCACCGACTTTTTCTAAGGCTTTGGCATTCAGAGGCTGATCTCCGTACTGAGGAATGACGATAATAGGTACTCCGCAGTAGACAGCCTCAATCGTTCCTAGGAGTCCTCCGTGTGAAATAAAGACCTTCGTGTTTGGGTGACCTAGAACAAACACACATCAGATGGAGGATGATTCGATAGATTGTCAGTTCATGAATAGTTGGAACGATAAAAAAACTGAAGGAATGTGACTAGATAACTAATTTTGCTACAATTGGGTAACCATTCAGGAACTCAGCCTATCTCTACCACTACACTATTCTTCCTTAGCATATTGATGTCCAGGGTAAGGATGAAGTATGTAAACGCATTTAATGTTGTTTTCCAAAGGTATTTACTAGGTTTCATACTTTATCCCAACCCTATATATCGTTATATGATTATGAGGTAATAAGGAATTTCGAATGGACGTAGTCGTTATAAAAAATGGATCAAGTTGAAAGTTCATCGAATGGAATATAAAAAAAAATTATATGAGTCTATCTAAATCTATTTATTCACGTGTGAAACCAATTCATGATCGCGAGAATTGTAGCCAGTGGAGAATGAAAAAAAAAACGAGTAATATGGTTATGATTCTAATCAATGCATGCTCATTGGATATTTCAATACAAATTATAATAATGCGTGATGATATGACTTTTTGTAGTCCTTCTTGGAGAATGATGATGCTATATCATTTTCGGATTGGTATTTCGTTCAATATGAATCAAGTAAGTACCTAATGTCATAATATTTCACGAATTCAATGACATTCAAAATTTTTGAGCTCATAACTCATAACATCTCATGAAATATGATGAAGATGCTCGTAGTTTTTTCACACTCACAGAGAATTTCTCTTTGTGGCGTCCACCGGAAAGTCTCAACATTTTTCGGTTTATTTTCCATATCGGTTTCCCATTTCCAGATCACCCTTTGTTGGACACGGGAGAAAGCTTTCAAAAATGCATTCCTCTTCTCAATTGGGAAACTGCTCCCCCTCAAAGTTGAACCCATGCTCATATATATTACTCCCTCGAGCGACTCATTTATGAATTTTGCCATATTCTGAAAGAAAGAGTGATATATGATTCAGAAGTGCCAATTTGAAAGCTGTTGCTTGAATAAATTGAATGACTCTGTGGCAAAATGGAGCCTGTATATTTTCGGCCACTTCCGAATGCAATGATAGTTATTTCCGTCGACCTCGTATTAACGACTAAGTTTAATGTATATGAAATCGTTCATTAATGACCCCTATTGATGATCAATTTGTCCATCAATGCACCATTGTTTTATAGGCAACCAAACATACACCGCGTGCATCCATTGTTTATGCTATAACGGAATCTACATTTGAATCAAAAATATGGATTTCAGCGAAGATTTTCCGTTAACGGGTTCGCCTTTCCAAGTTTCTGATTAAAATCCTAATCCCTGTTTTCTAACACAAGGAATTTATTTTCTATGTTGATCATTTCGACAAATGTCAAATGTCGCAAATGTCAGTAACAACGCTACTGGGTGATTTTTAGTAGTTTCCGCATGAATGATGAATTCGCGAATCAAGTTTTCTTCATTGCAGGAGAAATGAAAAATATAGTCGACGAAAATTTTTCTTTTCCGTCGACCTCGTATTAACGACTTAGTTTAATGTATATGAAATCGTTCATTAATGACCCCTATTAATGAACGATTTGTCTATTAATGTACGATTGTTTTATAGGCAACCAAACATACACCGCGTGCATTCATTGTTCATGTTATAGCTTACGGAATCTGCATTTAAATCGAAAATATGGATTTCATCGAAGATTTTCTGTTAACGGGTTCGCCTTTCCAAGTTTCTGACACGATTTTAATCCCTGTTTTCGAACACAAGGAATTTATTTTTTCTGCAACCGACACAAAAGTCGTCCATTTTGATACCAAAATTAGCTCTTAAATTGACGTTTCTATTACTGACACAAAAATAGGTATGTTGCTAGGCAACATATTTAGTTCCTAGGAGCTAAAGTTGAATTTTAGTTCCTAGGAGCTAAAGTTGAACTTTAGCTCCAAGGAACTAAAAAGGATCTACTGGACGTCATCAAGAATAAACAACATTGTGACGGTTGGTTATTTGGGTTGAGACGCATACCTGATTTGTTTCCGATTTTAGCAGATTTGGCATTTCATACCCATGCTGGAGATATAAATACACCTTATTATAGTTTAGTATTGGAATTATAAACATCTCAGTTAAGTATTTTTGTTTTGATCAGGGAAGCCTTCAAGATTCAAATACTTGCTTGATATGTATTTTATTCGTTATTCTCGGGATGGATAACTTGTTTTTGGATAATCAAGGCCAGCAATAGTTTTTTGTCTCAAACGACGATATTGTTAACTCTCATTTGATTATCAAGCGACAAACATTGTATTACGGAGAGGAATAAATAATTGCTATTCTTATTGTTGATGTGCTCACTAACCTAACATTTTCCAAGTCTTGTTTCTACCTTGGCTGGCACTGACGCGGTATTTGCCATTAGAGCACCTGGTCCATACACAAATATGTCACTCTGTGTGGTATTTATATTGAAACTACAATTCGAACATCCTTGAAAATTAAATGAACCTGCTGTTGATGCAGGTAGAATGTTCTCACCACACGGATTATTTTCAATATTTGTTGCATTGCATACATATGGCACGGTATTGGTGGCAACTTCACATATTTATTTGAGTTATTTGTTTCGGTTGCAGAAAAAATAGCATGTTTCATTCGGATCAAAAGTGACTTTGTTCGACTCGCAAATTTTGCTTTCGCTCGGCTTCGCTAAACGCTCCGCCTCGCAAATGCAAAATTCGCTTGTCAAACAAAGTGTCACTTTTGATCCTAATAAAACAATCTACTATTCTATGTTGATCATTTCGACAAATGTCAAATGTCACTCATGTCAGTGACAAGGCTACTGGCTGATTCTTAGCAGTTTCCAGATGAATGATGAATTCGCGAACCAAGTTTTCTTCATTGCAGGAGAAATGAGAAATATAGTCGACGGAAAAATGTTGTAACCAACTTGTATATTAAAAGGCGATTAATACACTAGTTGGTTAAATAACTATTAGCCAACTCGTATATTATTAAAAGGCTATTAATGATCACGAACATTAACGCGCTCGCTTTGCCCGCACGTTAAAATATCTCGATCATTAATCGCCCTGTAGGTTGAATAACTATCTATGTACCAAGTGGAATAGGCAGCATTCATACCTCGGGCGAAATGATCTAGTGACGCTCGAAAAAGTTATCTTACTTTAATGAAAAATCGAATTCAAGAAGCAGTTTATTGCTCCTAGCATATTCTTGACATTTTTCCCCTCATCGTATATAGGCATGGCATTTGTTGATATTTTGACGTTTGTTGAATATTGCTGCTATCATTCAATTCAGTGAATGTCAGTGCTGCTCTCTTTGTGTAGTCCACAGAACTCTAAGACCTGCGTTCTATGGTGTAGTCTTATAGAAAGAATGGAGATGAATAATACGAATTTACCAAAGGATATCATGAAAAATGGAGACAAGGCTTCGATTTATTTATTACCGGAGAAATCCGGACTCATGTATTCACGACAAAGATTATGAAGAATTTAATCAATGGTAGTTGAGCAATGAAAATATTGGCGTATATGAGATCGTGTTATTGACGTACTTTCCAGAATTGGTATGTAATTTTATCAACTACAGAAAAACAATCAGACTATACCCCAACATCATCTTATATAGATATCTACTAGTCATAGGTATTGTGGCATACAACTGTAATAAGAACAGTGAGTAAGGTAATACACATTTTCTAGCTACTCAATGTTTGTTGGCACTCTCGATCAGGAATTTGTTATTCTTTAGGAATAGAGAATACCATCATAGTTGATCATCAAGTTACAGATGTAATGTAACGTTTCATCAGTATCGAGATGAATTCTGAAACTGGGAAAAATATTTCGTGGTAGTTGAATGATCTGGGATGGTACCTATTGAAACGTTGAGGAAGGAGCATTGAATAGATAATTTGTCTTCCAAATATTTTGATTACAGTGGTTCATCAGAAGTAGCTACCTTCTTTCTGAAGATAATGTTTGTATATGCTAACTTGGCTAACTGTAGAGAAAAATCTTACGTCTGGGATCGCTTTGGGCTCTTCAATATGGATGCCACCCACTTCTATCACATTGGGAACGAGCGGTCTGGGCAAATTCAAGCTGAAATGCGTATTCGTTAAAAGAAGACTGACATTATACATTGCATCGACCTCCTTCAATGTATCTACTCCCAAATATTGTCTGGATAAGTTGTTGCCAGGGCCAGCCATGAAATATTCGTACATGAACTTGTCCCACCCCAATTGGAGGGTGTTTTCAACCCGCTGAAGAAATGTCATAGTGTCAGAAAAACCAGTGAAATGTGTTGGGATATACGACGGATTCTCTGGATTTGCAAACAATCTTTGGATCCATGCTGGTGGATTGGATGAAGACAATCCTGAAACAATCAACATTTCAACGAAACTACAAGTAATCATTGATATGCTCTTGATTCAATATGACTATCTTCAGTAACTTTCGTCACAAAGAACTGATTTGAGACGATTACCAAAACGAATGATAGTTCGTGTTCTTCCAACGAATTTTCACGTTAATGATTCCACTTTTCTTACCTATCACAGGGGCTTCAAATAGCCTCACTAGACCCATGAAGCAATTCGTATTGAACAATTCCATCAGAATCAAATCGAACTGATTTTCTTCTTTCAAAAAATTTTGTAGCTCATCTTTGCCTAGTCCACTTGCACATGAATGTTCGCCTTGTCCAGCGAGCAAAAAACGACAAGTTAGCTGACTCAGCCTTGTGCCAGTTAGGAGATCTGTTGGGTAGGAATAAAAAGAGGCAAAATAGTGAATTTCATGCAGAAGTACACAAAAAATTGTGCTAGCATTTATATGATGGCGTATGTTTTATATCTACATTTCTTTTTTATCTAGTTGATATCTCATAGTGAGAAGTTGCATTCCTTTGATGCTCATCTGATTTTCACAATGAAAAATATATAGAAGCATTATTTTCGTTCATCTTCTGTAGCATGATGCAAGATAATACAATCAAAAAAGTTAGGGTGCTATTCGCCAATAATAAAACTTGTTTTGTGAGATAATGGTTCTATATGACAGGAATATATGACCATAAAAAAATAGTTTTGATCTTCTGCGCACCGTACCAATCAGTGAAAATGTGTTTGAGACTGCTGAAAACTCTTTGAGAGTCCTCGACATAGACTGATTCAGATAGAGTAATATCACTAAACACAAATATAATTCAAAACATTAGTGAAAATGATAATGTAATAGCTCCAAATGAAGATACTCGTATGTTTAGGGTTGTGGAATTATTTTACATTACAATTATTTTTAAGGAAAACATTTTTCGAAGAACTATCTTCCGAAAATCTTTATTTTCAAAAGTAATTTTTGTTCAAACAACTCTCCAAACGGTTCATTTTTCAAAAACCTGTATTTTCCTCAACAATCTACCTACCTAGCTCAACTGTAACCAAACTATCAATATTATTCACATGCTATGATTGGTATACCTATAAAAAAGCATGATTCTAGTCCTGAAAAGTGACCCTGTATATGATCAATATTTGCACCTGTAGGTAGCAGAAAACGAAGGGCTCGTATGTCAGACGCTATTTCAATTGTCAGGTAAGTCAAACAGTTTGTCAGGTGTTTGTCACGTATCTATCGATAATAATGATCGAGAACAGAGTTCTCATTTATAATAAATAGCATCAGATTCATCTGAAATAAATTGTGCTTCCTGGGAGATTCTGTAAGGAATTTTCATAAATTGGGGTTGCTTATAATATGATGAGAAGATGAACCCTACGACCTATTCTGCATTGATGTCATATAAAATTTTCAGACTTGTTTGCAACTTGTTTTTATTACTCAAATGTGAGGAACATTAGGAAACGAATTCATTATTTGAAATCAATTGTCTTTATAGTCTCATTTCCGACTAGTTTAGTTGAAGTTGACGTATTCTTTTTTCACAATAGGAGTTGATACTACCTGTTAGTGAATAGGGTTTATTACTAAGATTTCAGCAACATCAAAAACATTGATTCGTTATAAACCATAACATCTGATACTATAGAATGTCAACGTAGTTTCAACTAAAACTGAGTGAGTTCTGCCAATACTGAACATATTGGTGAGTTAAATCATATTATTCTTTTCTATTCGATGTGAGTGATAAGATTAATTCCCAATTTCAGAGGATTTTCATCACATGGAGAATGCAGATTCCCAATGTATTTCTTTGTATATAAATCCATTATTTTTGTGTTCATAAATATATCTGAGAATATTCCTCTTCAGTAGGTACATATAAAGCGCTTAATTATTGACAGAAATATATTTTGTCATTTGACTTATTGATCCATTGAAGTCAATTGGAACTAACAAATTAACATAGAGATAATCTTCAGTTGCTATGAGCAACGTAAACAAGGAGCAGTCATCTAATTGGTTGAAAATTTATGAAATTTTCAGATTACTCGAAACACCTCGCGGAACAAATAGGCATATTCGAATGGTTATTTTCATTCAGGGGCTGTGAGGGACGGCTGAGAAGAATCAAGAACAAAAATATCGTTAAAACTGTGATAATTATTGAACTCGTTCGAAATATTGTCGTAAGGAAAATGTGATTTGAAGAGTCGTATTAAGAAAATGAGAGTATCCTTTCGGAACTCTGTTTACGCGAAAAAGTTGTTTCAAAAAATGTCCGTTCAAAAATTTTGTGTTGAAAACTAGTTTTCTAAAGAAATTTCGCAGCGCGTATGTTTACTACATAATATACCTACCCATATCTAGAATTTCTGTAGTCACTTCATTGTCTCCTATGTTTATATCCCTCCAGTTGGCTATTGTCTTCTTCTGAGGAAACCTTGTGATGACTGTGAGGTTATGTTTTCTGAGTGCTAGCTGCTTCAAAAGAGGTTCGAAAACTAGTTGATGACTTTTGCCCACATGTGGGAGAATCACAAGGATGTTCAAACCATGGCTGCTCGCAGATATCCAGAGCAGTAGAATCCTGAACACATTTATTATTGTTTTTCAATAGATTAAATGAATTAGTGCAATTTTCTTATCGAAATATATTCCTGCAATCCATACTCACTCTGTATAATTCATTTTCGTAGGATTCTGCTTACTCTGTCTCTCTGTAGGAACTAATGATTGATATAACCCCTATGATGAACATGATTTAATTTGAATTTCTCACATATCTCGCACATCTTTCATCTTACTTCATTTCGATAAAAACTCGTGAGTATGACTTCTTAAAATATACTGAATAACATTAATGAATACATCTTACAGCGCCTCTACTAAAATAATATTATAGGCTCGGAGATACGAGATCGACCAGTATCGCTTGAGTAATATGGAAATGTACCTATAGATATTGATTTATTGAAAATATTTATTGATTCACGTGATTTGTTGATGATGTTGGAAATACTGAACGTTAAGTCTCGCAGTATAATTATAACTGACATTCTTATTCGGAATTCAACTGGTTGTCATGATTCATATTATTTTTTTGTGGACCTGCTATCAAAAGTGTGCCTTCTGCGATTGTCACAATAACTATACAGGAATATTTATCACGGAAAACAATCAAAATGCAACTCTCTCCATTAACTTGGAACAATGGAATATGTTTTTAATGAATTTTTGATATTTCGAAATCCGTAACGGTACTCTCCATAAACCTGGAGCAGAGTGGACTCTTTTTAGTCTTGAGGTATGTCTCTAATCTGCATCATTACCTCTCAACTGTTCTAATCATTTCGATTTGAGAAAGAAGTAGCAACTGAATACGTATCAGTTTTACGAAAAGCTAGAGTGCCAAGGCATTGTCGAACTAGATGGAAACCTAGTAGACGACCTAGTGCGAGGAGGCTCTTGCCTATATATCCTATATATCTGGCAAAATAGTATCACTTGTAGTATTTCATATGAATGAATTGTCATTCTTCTATTTCATTCATCTTATATGATATCCACCTCCCTGGCTATACATGGCATTATGTGATAGTGAGTCGCTCTTGATTGTTTGTCCTTGGATAGAAAATTTAATCTCGCTAGGCAGATAACAAGAAAGTGAATATATTTACAGAGTGATTTAGAATAAATGTTCGTATCTGCAACGTCAGGCAAACTTACGAAGAATGATTCAGTCAATAAACTCATTAGTGAAAGGTAGTGCTCCATTGTCATGAAGCCCAATTTTGACAAAACCGTGTTTTGCCTCTAGACATTCGATATTCATTTGGTTGATTCAACCTTTCAGTGGTCGCACGCGGAGTATCACTCTGCACGAATATAAAACGTGAGTTTTCTCGAATATACTTCATTCTTTTATTCCGCCGCACTCAGTTCCTCCCTAAAAGGACGACTTCAGTACGAATCGAGTATTACCGATGTACAAAATTACTTCGTTTCTGATTTTCATAGCGTGTCGTACTCCGCAGCGACCTCAGACGTCTTAGTTATATTGCATATTGCAGTTACACATTGCAGCTATTTTCGGCGTTTTAGGCAAGAATTTTGTCTCATTTGATGAATGATATTTCATAAAATACCGTTTTGTGAACACACATGATCGATGCTACTGTGATTGAACGATAGACACACCGAATTTTATAATAGTACATGTGGAAAATTCATGTGCTTATTAAAACCCCCTTAATTCATTTGCAGAGATTGCCGATGGGTCATTGGTGGTTTGAGATTGAAACATTATCAGTTTGTCCTCAAATGATAGTGTTTTTGTTCGAATTCTAATTAACAAATCTCTAATAGTTGTCTCATGTTAATTTTAGTTATCGAATGAATATATTTTTATTGCAATTTTGACATTTCACCCCGTAAAGATATTCATGTCCAAAGGCATACTGATGAAATCTTTAGAAAAATTCGAGTCATCATGTTCAAACCACCCGAATTCTCCATTGCGGAGTCAGACTCCGCAGCGACAGACTATGTCGTTTTCAAGGCGCGACTACTGGAAGGTTGAATCGAATGATGGCGAGAGTGAACATCCCTATTGGGACCAGCTGGTGTATCTCAGCGCATTTTTATTCAATGAACCATCCACGAAATCGTTAGTTGCAACCATCGCATATCCGGATTTGCATAAAAAGTGCCCAATACTCGGATAAAGTAGCGTTCTCAGATACAAAATTGCAGAGCATCATGATAAAAAATATCAATATGCAACCCCAATATTATCCTTGGGCGCTCATAAAATTTTATCAAGAGGAAAATCCCTCGGCGTATAATATGAGGAATTCTGCTTCAATATTTTGGTAGATGTCGTTATCATTCGAATTTTCCATGATGGAAAAATACAAAAAACAGTTGTTGAGAACTTATGACTGGCATAAATGCGATAAAGTGAATCCTTGAAATATGGACTCATTTTTTTTTCAATGTTCGGTACGGCGATAAGGAAACTAGCAAATTGATTAATAATTGTAACTGGTGGTGGAATTAACGATTACTCTGGCTCAAAGGACCCCGAACATTTAGTACGGATAATGGTTTTCGGCCAATTTTCCAGTCCAATTTGCAGATCGATCCTATGACCAGTTTTCTAGCTACAGGCCACAGGGTGTCAATCATTTGATTTTGGCTGTTCAGAATATTTTGCATCGATTTGAATCATGTGCTCTAAGTCGTGATAAATCTTGAATAGAAATAAACGATACACGTCTAATTTCTATATCATTAATCCCTCTATTCGAATAGATAATAATATCACATACAGGGTATTACGTTCCATCATGATGAGGTAATATTCTTATGAATAGACAAATTGAAGTGAAAAATTGAATGTCTCATGAAATACCCCCACCAACCCTCTGATATATTATATAAACAATTATGAACCATTCGTGATATGTTTATCATTTTGTACATGAGTAACATCAATTCTAAGCTTCCAAATTGTCATCACCCTATATATATGGCAAACCGGACATTGTATCAGAAAAAATCATATATAAATATATATATATGAATGTTGATGATCAAGATCCATAGTGTGTCAAATAATAAACCGATTCTATCAATTTGTTTTCAAGTTTTCAGTGATTGAGGGAAAATCGAAATTCCGATTCAATATTTGCCTATTCCCATGACTATTACCTTGTCATGATGGAATGCAATACCCTGTATGTGATATTATTATCTATTCGACTAGAGGTATTCATGAGGTAGAAATTAGACGTAGAACGATTATTTCTACTGAAGATTTATCACGGCTTAGCCAAAATCAAATGATTGACACCCTGTAGCTCGAGAACTGGTCATGGGATCGATCTGTAAATTGGACTGTGCAATAAGGACGCTAATATCTGTAACATATCAAATTTTCAGAAGAATGAGGTAGAGTTCCTTTCTTGATGTTTTGAAGGAAGTATGCAGATCATTAACATTTTAATTTGTTGTGATGAATCATCTCAAGTTATTGAAAAACATACCTAAACTTACAATTCAATCAAAGGAATGGCCAATACAACTCAAAAAATGCAATACCAATCAGATATCAACGAGTTGATATCATGCTATAACTCCGTGGGACGATATAATTTTTATATTACAGTCCCTAGAACCATTGCTGAATTCCGGTTTACCCAGAAGAAATATTTCATCGAACCAATATTTTCGTCATGAATCAATATTTCATTGACTGAAACATACATACAATGAATTGATGAAATGAAAAGAGAATACGTTTTATATTCGGTTTGAATTCAAGGTTATAAATACATAGTACAAAATAAAATAGAAATTAATAATATTACTCCTCGATGACTAAAATATCCACATTGAACAACAACATTGTGAAATCCACTTCATCTTATTGTATTTGCCCATGAAACAATGGCAATGCAGTCGAGTTCAAAACAGAGAGATAATAAATCCAACTAATCACGAAGTCTTAATTTTGTTTCGTCTCCTCAATTTCAAAAACACTGAAGCAGCGATCTTATACATACAATAACTGAAAGATATTACAATTAATGCAATGAATGCTATAACGTCTATCAACAGGTACTGATAGGCAGGCATCAGTACTGCAGCTGTCCTAATATGCGGTGCTCCCCTGTATTTTGCCACATATTCGATCCAGTAAATCGCCGTTTCCATTGGTGATAAAGGACGGTCCTTGAATCTTTCTGATAAATCTTCAGCACTTTTTTTGAACCTAGAAATGATTAACGAATGCTGAAATTTTGGATAAATGACTATCAAAATGGTGTTAAATTTTTTGGATCTTCGTACTCTCGATATCAGAGGACACAAACGATAATTTCGGAATTATCATCAAAACTATTGTTTGCTTCAAATATATGGTCGGCGTATGTTGAATTTGATTTCTTTTGCAAAAAAATTCATCTTATATTCATGAATGCGCAGATTACCTCTGGACAAGATCCATAGTTGAGTTTCTATATCCTTGATTTTCCGAATTCAGAAGTTTTGTCTTTATCATTTTTGATGAACCTTCTCAACGTGCAATTCGTTCTGTTCTATATATGCTACTTTTAAGTCCACTTTAGAAAGAAATGGAGCTAATTTCTCAGTTGATGATCCGAAATAGGTTACAGTTCTATAATTTTTATCATTATTCTTGGTGGTAGGATAAACTTCTTGCATACCTTCATTATGCAGTTATTCAAAAATAATACTATTTTTCAAATTAACATTATATCCGTTGTTGACTGCAATCTGTTTTATGATATTGAGGTCTTTATTGAAATTCACTTCCGAAAAGGGGACATTCACTAGCCTGTGTATCATACATATGCTGCAATTTTCTGTTGATAAAGGAATGTTGAATTATTATGAATAGTGATATCAGTGTGGTAAGGTTTATGGAAAATTGAAAGATCATGTTTATCATTCATTTTATTCATTGTCAAATCAGATAAATTGATTGATTTTTATGTTTCCATTTCTATTGTGAATCTTATGTTTGGATGAATAGTATCGATAAAGTTATCATTAATAAACACTGGAGAAATGAACGAGAAACTTGGGAACTGACCAAACTTCTACAGTCTCTATTGAAATCTACCTAATCAGAAAATGTATCGATAATTCTTCCTCACTTTCACAACCCCGCAACATGTCGAAACCTTGTAATTCGCACTCTCCATAATAATCAACATCTACTTCATTCGTTGGTACATTGAACCTCAAAGAAACTCAACATACATTCTGCTCTCAACCATCGTGTTGGTATCCATATTATTCATCAATTCAATACTTGTCGACTCACTTGGGACTCAAAACTTTGTTGAGTGACTGCAGAATCGTTTTCTCCGTAGCATCCTGCAAATAGAGGATTACACCCCCACCAACTTTTTCTAAGGCTTTGGCATTTAGAGGCTGGTCTCCATATTGAGGAATCACGATAACAGGTACTCCACAATAGACAGCCTCAATCGTTCCTAGAAGTCCTCCGTGTGAAATGAAGACTTTCATGTTGGGGTGACCTAGAACACACAATCATCATCATCATTATCATTCCTATATCCCTACTTCCCTACTGGGCACAGTAGAAATAGCTATGACTTACAACAAACAATTAGTAACGATATTGCTAAGGTGAAAAAGTGGTGCGATTCTAATATGTTGTCCTTTAACATCTCTAAAACAAGTGTCCTAACTTTCAATTGCACTCTGCAGGGAGAACTTCAGTTAGGTAATCAAGTAATTAGTAATAGAACAGAGACGAAGTTTCTAGGTTTACACATTGACAATAAATTGGAGTTTAGTGACCATATTGACAAATTAAGGAAAAAGTTGTCATCTGGCTGTTATGCAGTCAGAACAACATCATGGGAACTTGGTAGAGAAATGGCCAAAAGTGTATACTTTGCTCTCATTGATTCACATTTGAATTGGAATTTGTTTCTGGGGTTCATGTAGTAAAACTTGTGATTTTTGTCCTACAAAAAAGAGCCGTGAGATACATGTGTAGAGCTGGATTCAAGGATTCTTGCAAGCCATTATTCATAGAGCACAAATTATTACCTCTTCCATGTATTCTCATTCTGGAAACGGTATGTCTCATATATCGAAAATATAAAATGAAAATCATATTACTACACACTGTAATACAAGACGTGCACATAATTTAAATATACCAATACCTAGCTCTACATTAATAATGAACTCTTCCATTTACAATGGCAGAAAATTGTATAACCATTTGCCTGATGAGGTAAAATGTATCAATAACCCAAAAATGTTTAAAAAATTGGTCAAAAGTCTTCTAATTGAAAAAGCTTGCTACTCCTTAGACTAATTCTTTTCATAAAAATTCTTAAAATAATTCACATTGCTGATATCCTGTTGTTTTTCGATTTAAAACTTTTAACTATATTCTTTGGTTTCAACAGTTCCTGTGATTTTAATGTGTTTTATATTGTTCACTATATTGTGTTTGTTCTATTTATACAATGTAGGGTTTCATTTTTATACTCTACTTTATTTCTTTATATGTATATATATAAGCATGTTCGACTTTGTCAATGAGAATTTTATTCTTCAGACAATAAAGTATATTTTGATTTGATTTGATTTGATTTGATTTACTAATATCATCTATAGAAGTGAATTTGAGTTTCTTTGTCAGGCTTTCACGGCAAGTGAAAAAATGTACTTCGTCAGATATAATTTTTGGACACAAAGTATCCAACAATCAGACATGAAACTCTATACGACGGAATGTTAGATAATAAATATCAGAATACGTCTTTAGGAACCCGTATGTATCGGATTATTCAGGTGATGAAATGGAAATGACAAATATTCAACCTAACATGAGGTGGGCACTTCGAAGGCGCAAATTCATTACTGCATGCATGTTGAAGAAATAGCCTCTAGCATAAGAAGGAAATTTTCCATGCTGCATTCTTTCAATTTGATGCAGACGAAAATCGGCACGTCGTTTTGTAGGGTATTCATGAAATTCGCTGTTTCTATGAACCTTTCCTATATCATTGTGCGTGTATAGCATTAATTTGTATTGGTGAATTGGAGTGAGTGTTATAATGCCGCTTTGAATGAATGTGTCTTTACATGACTCTCTATGGTCTAGGTCGAACAAAAGCCTTATGAATCTCTTTCGCGAAATGAATACCCTAGAAGCTTTTGACAATTATGTTATTCCTTTATATAGAATATTCTTGAGCATAGTTTATGTTTATTAGATGATCTCTATGAAAGTTTGAAAGGTGTCTAAAGCATGATACAACTTGTTCAGTTTTTTACAGATAGCGTCAACTTGACTGTTAGTTCATGGTCTACATTCAAGCCTAGAAATTTTGTTTGTTGTGATCACAATTGAGATTTTTTATTGAATTGAAATGGCTAGTGGATTTAATCAGCACTCAATCAATCATCATTGAATTGATTGCAATAACTGTAACTGACTATTTGAAATCTAGTAAATAATGTTTGACTAACTCGACACTCGTAGATGAAGTATTTTTTGTACTCACACAGAATTTCTCTTTGTGGCGTCCAGCTGAAAGTTTCAACATTCACAGGTTTATTTGTCAAGTTCGTTTCCCATTTCCAGATCACCCTTTGTTGGATACGGGAAAATACTTTCAGAAATGCATTTCTTTTGTCGGATGGAAAGCTGTTTCCTCTCAAAGTTGAACCCATGCTCATGTAGATAACTCCCTCAGACGATTCATTCATGAACTTTGCTATTTTCTTGAAAAAAGATGAAATCATGATCTAGCTATGTGAATTCCTTCGTTAATATGCATGATCTCCAATCAATTTTCAATTACCGATTCAGCTCCTGCTGAACCTAGTTATGATGCTCTAATAACAAGAACTGAGTAGATTCTCATATGATACACTGTAGAAAATTCCTCCGAGTGACTGCATATTATATGGTTGTGAGTTGATTTACTGATTGAAATTTCTCAGTGAATTCTCTACTCTAACTAGATATTTTATCAGTTCTTTCCAATATTGAAAATGTTTATGAGAAATTTGATTCAATCGGCTCATCAGTTATCATTTCACATAGTCATTCGGGCGTGGACCGAAACTGAGACCTTGAGTGAAATTTCACTAAATTGTTTCTTCAGTGTAGGTTGTCTACTGATTGTACGTTAATTTCAAGAACTTGTTCTTCACTATTTGTTTGCAACTTCAATGATGTTAATGAAGGATGATTGAAAATTTCTTACGTTTGGTATTTCTTTGGGCTCTTCGATGTGAATCCCACCTACTTCTATGATATTAGGTACGAACGGCCTGGGAAGATTCAAGCTGAAATGAGTATTTGTTAGGAGAAGACTGACGTTGTACATTGCATCAAACTCCTTCAATATATCTACTCCCAAATATCTCCTAGAAGAGTGGTTACCAGGCCCAGCTATGAAATATTCGTATATCAACTTGTCCCAGACCAATGAGAGAGTGTTTTCCACCCTCTGTAGAAAAGTCATGCTGTCAGAAAAGCCGGTGAAAGTAGTTGGGATGTAAGAAGGGTTTTCTGGATTCGCGAACCATCTTTCGATCCATGTGGGTGGTCTAGATGAAGACAATCCTGAAATCCCATCAGATATTATTATTGTTCGTTACCTACGTTGTTATATTTATCACAAAAATTAACAATTGTACTAATGGGTGTCAATATTTTAGAATAAAAAACTCGCCCACGCACAGGCTCTGCCTTAGTGGATTTTTGTTTTTTCGAAAATATCTCATCAGAATATACTATACATATACAATATTTTGGTCATAACCCAAATTTATGCCAATTTGTATTTTGCGAATAATTTGAATTAATAGTATTATTATTATTACTATTATTATTATTATTATAAAAAAAGGAAACAGACAAAAATCCGGAGCCGGTCGGCCACAAAATTTGATTTTGAACGATGAGTATGTGTAACTAGTTTCGGCCCATGGGTTCATCATCAGGCATCAATATGAGTACCTGTAAGGGAAAGCAATGAAATACTTAGCAACTACCAGGAATGAAATATTGTTTAATCCAGATAGTGTTTGTATAGTATTCCATTGCTTTCCCTGAAAGCTACTTATATTGGCGTCTGATGATGGTCATATAGGCCGAAACTAGTTACACATACTCATCGTTTCAGATATAATTTTGTGGTCGATCGACTTCGAGTTTTTTCTCTTTCCTTTGAAAAATTCGAGAGAATTATATGTCGACATTCAATCTCTGTCATCTGGTTTATTTTTGGTATTTGATGTCTGACAAATTGATATTATTCAAACATGACGTGGAGGGAAATTCTGAATTGAAAAAAATTCTGCGATTGAAGGTCTATTGAAATGACAAGTTTCCATCGTTCAAATTTGAACCCCATGATCTTGTAGAAGTATCGAAAAGGAATATTCTCAGATGAATCATGAAAATCAAAAAAAGGATATTATATGGAGAAATACATTGAGAATTCGTATTCTCTATATAATGAGAATATCAATTCTACCGCGTTTCATTCGATAGAAAACAACTATACTTTCTTGGCTATATGCCACGACGAACATAGAATATCGTGTACGAAGTAATTTCAAGATTTCTCGATGGGTTCGCCATTGAATCTTGTTCTTGAATCTGCATTTCTTGTCTTGTCTCGATTTTTTTTGAAATTAATTCCCCATTTTTGATCTTGAATTTTCTTGATTCTCAAGATGAGAACAGGACAAGAACAATATTTTCAAGGCATGACCCATCCCGAATTTTCACTTGAAATTATTCTGAATATCGGACTTGCCAGCTCTATCAGAGCCAATAGTTTTTCAAGACACTGTTTATTCTCACCTATCACTGGTGCATCAAATAGCTTGACTAGACCCATGAAGCAATTCGTGTTGAAGATTTCCACCATCACCAAATCGAACTGATTGTTTTCCTTCAGAAACATTTGTAATTCCTTTTTGCCTAGCCCATCGTCGCATGAATGCTTCCCTAGTTCTACAAGCAGTAGACGACAAGCAAACTGAGTAAGCCTAGTCCCAGCTTCGACATCTGATACGTGAAACAGAATGATAATAATTGTTACTGTCGGAGATGTTTTATGGTACACATACCTATATCTAAAAATTCGGTAGCCACTTCATCATCCCCTATATTTATATCTCTCCAGTTAGGTGTGATCTTCGTCTGAGGGAACCGTGTGATTACTGTGAGGTTATGTTCTCTCAGTGCTAGTTGCTTCAGGAGTGGCTCAAAGACTAGTTGATGGCTTTTGCCTACATGTGGAAGAATCACAAGAATGTTCAAACCATGGGAACATGTAGATATGATGAGCAGAATAAGCAGTGGGATCCTGAAATAGATATATACAGTAACTAGTTTGGAAACGACTCATTTTTAGTGTCTCAATTTTGGTCCACGCCCGATTGAGTTATAAATTCACTCTACTTCACTGAGTGGAATGATAATTCGATTAATGAATATGAGGGATCAGAATTCAGTCAATGTTCAGATTTGAATATATTTCAGTTCCGCGATTTCTTGATTAAATTTCAACTCGATTTTGAAGGTCAAGAATATCAATTGAGTGTTTATATACCCTTCTTTGAGTGACTTTATATCACTCACTCAGTAGATTAACTAACTACCAAAATTGCAGTCACTCAGAAGTATTTCTCACAGTGAAGTTAATTATAGTTGAATTTGTTTCCTATATGTGTTATGTATACTCACATTTTATGATTCATCGTCACAGTTTACAATCAACATGAAAGAAAATGAATGCTGAAAGTATACTAACTGAATGATACATAATATTGCTCTACTTCATCGTTTTTGCTGAGATTGAAAAATAGTCTAGGTAATATGAGAATGAAAATCATCATTTTCGATCTTCATATTGCTAGGAGGAAACGCCTATGCATGGTCATCCTAAATTGTTGTTGTAGGCATATTTTCTGTGAATATAAAAATTTTAAATTGTGTCAGTTCCATTGTAAATGATATTCAAATAGTTAATTTGGGTTGGGGATCCTTTCCTAGTATTGAATGGAAAACTGAATTTTCAATTGAATTGTTTTCCATACGATATCAGTATAGTTGGGAAATCAATGATACAAGGGTTTCCCAATAGGTGACTTTGAAATAACCTAGAATCGATTCTATTTTGGACTCATGACTCCTGATTCGGTGATATCACTAAGTTAAGGCATGGCTTGGCAACACCAGGAACCCTTTGCTCTAGAGATGGTACTCGACAAACGAAGGATTTATGCCAAAAACAACCGTACAGCCGTGTGCACCAGACGAGCTGTTGCATCTTGTTGCCTGCAAATGCATACAAGATTGTTAACGAAACTGCGGCTGCAAAAATACCGGGTTGTTCTGTTTCAAAACGTGCAAATGCTGTGAGGACTATTGCAGCAGATCTATTCCGACTATGACGACGATGTGGATGATGAGAACAAAGAGACTATGTAGGACTTTGCTGGTGAAGAAAGTGATTAATCGTTCACATAATTATGTGAATATTTAATTGATAAACTCGATAGTTCGACTATTTTTTCTTGAACACAAATACTCAAACGATGTTTCTCAGATGTCCTGCCTAGTTCTGGTATCAGGAATGATGAGCAGAAGGCTACTGAGGAATTGCCAGAAACTACTGAAGGTATCAATATTCCTATTCATCTAACCAATATATTATCACCAATCACAACAAACATCGAATATCGATGTTCATTAATAGGTATATCTTGTGTGTTTCAGAAGGAGAGTCTCTCAAGGCGAAAAGGCAAAGAAAGAAATGATCCTGCCGCAATCGACCGTTCATCACCTCAACCTAAATGAATTTTTGGATGATTGTCTATTCATTATTATTCGTCCAACCATGAGTGTTTTTTACAACCAGACCCATATTATGGATCTAATTTCGACTTCAGACCCAATCAACGAAGGGCACAGATTCCGTGGACAGACTGTAGGTTTTGAAAGTCTGAAATACGAATATTTTGAATCACTTGAAAACTATGGTGAATATTCAGCGCACTCTAGCGGCTGAACCAGACGAGTTATAGAGCCAATTTTGCCCTCAGTTTTTTGTGAATCTTATTTGCCTCAATTCTTATGGAAGCTGATTTTTCTCTATATCAAGTTGTTTAGGAGTTATGAGCGGAAAACTAAAACAACTCTAGGTTTTTCAGTTCTCTACCATTTTCATGGTGAAGCCATATCCCAATCAAGTCGATAACTGAATTTTGAGATTCAGCATCCCAAAAAACATATGAATCCGTTGAGAAAAATTCTTCAGCAATTTTTTCCTGTTCGAACTAACAAATAATTTGACTATAGTGTGAGCAAGTCAAAACAAGTGAGGTTTTTAAGTTTTGTTACTCTTCTTGCTCCTCTGATATTGAATGTCTTTATTGTGACATCTCAAGTAATATGCATATCACTTTCAACGCCAGAAATAACTTGTTTTCATTGAATATTTTTGGCCCTTGTCGAGATCACTTTTTATTCGGAATAAGAACTCCAAGAAATCGAGTTTGCATCAACTCTTCTATTACCTCATTTTGAATACAAAAAAATTAATGTAAATGAATAAGTCAGAGAATAATTCACATGAACATCGAGTCATGAATGAGCTTATATAATGTGAGAATACTCTTCGAAGAGATGAGAGATTCAATATGAGTAGAGTTTATTCCTATAAGCCGAAACGCATTTTATTGTAGAATTACTTTCTTGCCTTCTCCTGGTATTGATGACATTGATCACTTGTTTTTATCTGTTCATTATTCGATGTTTCGTTATAATTCGAGCCTATTTGTTGAGAGTGCTTTTTCAAGTCTGAAAAATCCTCATAACTCAATTATATTACTCTATACGGATTGCCTGTAATCAGTTGATATATGAATCGGATCGGATTTGAAAGCTCTTTTGATTGAATTTCCTATGACTGAGTGCACATTATCCCTTTCGTTCTGTGTGTGACCCTTGATCAAGAATTCATGTGTGATAGATTTGATTTTCAATTTCTACACAGCGTACAGGTCCATTCTCATTATGAATTTGTTTTTTTTTTTGCTGGCCGCAGCAATCATCGGAATAGAGGATAATTCCAAGGTTGTCGTTATTTTTGATGCCAGCTCTTCCTTCTAAGTATCTCAGAACACAAGCGCTGATTTCTATAGCAACTCTATTTCCTTAACCTTCATGACGAAAAAAAAAAACACTCTACGTAATCTGACTGAAGTTTATTCAGTAGTTGAGTTGTAGCTGATGATTTTCCTCTAATAATAAAAAGTAGAAGTATCTCCCCTTGGTGCTGGCAGGACTGGTTGGAGATCGTATGTGGGGACTACAATTCTTTCGTCACCTTCTTTTGCTTTCTTTTCATCCTCTTCTTTCTTTGCCCCCGACAAAACTGTCTCTTTCAAATGAGCATCGTATTTGTTTGTATTGCTTCTTTCTCTCCTCCGCTTGCATCATTATAGAAGCTACATAGATCACACTGATCTTTTTTGGGAGTGAAAAAAAATCAAAATCATAGATTACATTGGCACCTACTTCCTTCTTCCTGACAACAAAAACTGTCACAACACAAAATGAGCCGTTTTTCTTGACCTTCAACAAACACACCTCTTTGTAGTAACTCTGAAGTGACACTGTTCTTGTCAGGCTGGATACGGACTTGATCACAGAATACCCAACAATTTCTGTGACTTCACTGGGAGTGAAACTAACACAACTGCCCTCTGACGACGGATAAATTGTGAGTGATAGATATGACGTTCTTCGTGTGGGCACATCATCGTATTTATTAGTATGAAAATCACGTGAGATTTATTGCTAAAAGTGCATCCCAAAAACTGAATTTTTTGTTTCGAGCCAGGAGCTATCACAATTCCAGTCAGCTGCTTATTATCTATAAGGCACAGATCCGACCTGTCCTGGAATACTGTTCCCATATTTGGAGTGCGGCACCCAAACATGCCTGGAAACTGTTGGATTCTGTCCAAAAAAGGGCAATTCGTCTCGTGGGTGATGCCTCACTCACAAACTCATTCACTTCTCTGGATCACCGTAGAAAAGTTGGCGATCTAGCTCTATTTTATAGATATCTTCATGGACGATGCTCTTCTGAAATATCTCCCTTGGCCGTCCCCGCGAGATTAATCCTTCGCACCCCTTCGTGGTCACTTTGGAGACCTGCAAAACATCTCTTTCCAAAGACTCGTTCATCCAACGAACAGCGAGGCTCTGGAACACATTACCAAGGGAGATGTTCCCCGAGGCATATAATCTCACCAATTTCCAACCTTATTTCCCTTATTGGTTCTCACGATGTTCTCTGAACATTACAATTACAGGATATCCCTTCTCGTGGGAACCAGAACATAAAAAAATCACCTCAGCATGAGCATTTATTGAGTTGTGTCACTATTCTCGCTCGGAATATGATGGTTGTGAATGAAATAGTATACAAACGTTGGTTGAAAGTTTTGTTATTATTATTATAACTTATGTTGAATGCATGTTATTTGAGTTCGGGATCCATAACAAGAAATGAATGACAAACTAAATTTTCAATTGACTTTTTTCCATACGATATCAGTAGTGGTACATCAATGATACAAGTGATTCCATATAGTTATTTTTGGAATAACCTAGAATCGATTCTATTTTGGACTCACGACTCCTGGATAATTCTCAATACATATGCAGATAAAACTATGAATCGATCTGAATAATTCACTTGATTTTCTAGTCAACAGTATATAATTTGCATTAAATAGCAAGTCATTGATCGTTGGTTTCCATCAGAAAAATAACTAGATGTTAAATACATGTAAATTATAGAATCACTCACCATATTATAGATGATTTCAATCATCACTAAATCAATCTAATCTGTGGTTGTAACCTATTTATTTTCATGGAACTGAATATTCCTTCCTTCTCACTCCGGGATAATGAAGTTACGTTCACCAACAGAAAATTGCGAAGCATTATGATGAAAAATATCAATATGCAGCCCCAATATTATCCTTGGACGCTCACGAAATCTCATCAAGAAATAAATCAATCGGCATATTATTCGATGAAAAAATCTGCTTCAATATTGCTGGGAACGAGTTAGAAATGAGAATCGTTCTCAGAATATTTATTTTCTTCAAATTCAATTCATTTCATGATTGTCATTATCACAAGGTATATATCATTACTACATATTATGAAATCCTGAACAAAAATTACCGAAGCATAACTGCTTGTAGTATTTATTTACAAGAAATAAATGTGATGTCATTAGCTTTTCTCTTAGTGTCAGAACTGTCAGGGCATATAATAAATTCGAGAAAACAAAATTGTTTCTAAATGATGATTGGTGAGTAGATGATCAATGAGTACAAGAGGTTTTTATTTTATAAGTAGATTCTAATTTCATTATTCATTTTTCCAATTTCGTATTCAGAGTAGTTTATTTTCACGTCCTTCATGATGTATGTCAATTTATCATTCATCCAAAAACGAATGCTCAAATGACAGGAGTATGTCAACAAACTCGTCAATAAATCATAATGATTCTCAGATGTCAGTTCGTCATAGCTCCAGTTATATTGTAGGGAGATGAAAATTGTGCAGATCATGAAAAATGGCTGAAGGAATAACTGGACTTCAGGTGACTGATGAGGATTTTGATATTTTGAAATGGGTTTATTCAGGACAAGTCATATAATCTCTCTGTGTATATAATTATTGAGGTAGGGTTCTGAAATTTGCTGGAGGAAGAGAAAGTCCAAAGATAAAGTCAATTA